TGACGTCACGAGCTAAACAAAATGGCGGCTAGCGTTTTCGCGCGAAAATTTGGAACTAATTAAATGAACAACTAGTAATTTTTATGGCACTATTCGGTACGGTTATAAAAAATTATATAAAAAATATAGTGGTTCGTTTTTTCTCCAGGATTCATTTAAAACATTATTTGAATGTGTGTAATACCCTATCCCTATTGTATACGCAAGTAAGTACATTCATCTTAAAATAATGTAAATGTTACCCGCCCCGCTCTGGCTTCGCTTGGGGATCTATTAATGTGGCGTTATTTAGACTTAAGCAGTGGCGTAGTTACCCAGGGGCTAGGCAGGGCAGTGACCCGGGGCCCCCAAGATAAAGAGACCCCCCGGGCTCCAAGAAAAACGTTCGAAAAATTATGTTCTATCCAGTAGTATAGCGTGCCTTAGACTCGCCCCGTATCAAAATGTGTTGGGCGGCCCAAATGAAGAGTAAAGATTTTTCACAAAAGGAACAAAAACGCTCGCATTGAATTAAAATAATTACATATTGAATATAAGTTATTACTTACAATGGATCCTAGGAACTAATCTAGCCAAACAATTCCAATCAAAATAAATATTATATACTTTTCTTGCCTTTTATTCGGCGAACTTATTTATTAAATCATTCATAGCTGAAGACGATTTCAGTTTTTCAAAATTTTTTGCTTCTATAGACAATAGTGTCAAGTCTGATAGCCTTTCCTTCCATAGAAGTCCTTAGAGTTTTTGCTTATAGACGTTTGCTGCCCCCGTAGCCTGGGGGCTCCGTATCACCGATACGGCTGATACGGCGGTAGCTACGCCCCTGGTTCTATCCTAGTTGTATAAATAATTTTCGAGTTTAACTTTTTGGTCCCTGACCGCGAACGGCTCGAACTGAAAACACAAAAATTGCTCCCACTTCTTCAGAACTTAAGTATAACATTGTTAAAGATAATTGTCTACTTCGTTTTATTGTCATTTTTATATAGAAGAGAGGGCCAAATGAGAATGCGGCTCACCTGATGGCAAGTGTCGACCACCGTCTATTACGAAATACAACACCAGGATAGTTGCAGGCGCGTTGCGGGCTTTTTAAAAAGGAGTAAGCTCGTTTCTTGAAGGTCCCTAAGTCGTATCGGTCCGACAGTAGTGGACATTCTGATGATGAGCATTTGTGAAATGCGTTGATGAAATTTTGTGGCTGGAATTAATCCGAACAATTCCGCTGAATACTCCTCGTGCTAAATGTTATAGAAAATGCAAAGGGATGCAACACCTCTTCGTCTTGTCTTTCGTCTTCGTCGGTCGTCGACGATTCGAGCCACTGCGCTGGATGCGGTCGAGTGGAAAGAGCCAGTACTAGGGAGCCCCAGGCCAGAGATGAGAACAGTATTCCGTGTTAGGCCGAACCTGCCCCTTGTAAAGTTGCAAGTAGTGTGCCGGCTTTAAGAATACTGTCCCGCTCCGCTGAGCACGCCAAGCTTTCTTGAGGCCAATTCAGCCTTCCCTTCCAAGTGACCATGAAACTGCACGTTATTCGATATGTCAACGCCGAAGATTCTGATACTGACTGAGGTCACAAGGGGAGTGCCCTGAAATTAGGAGTTACGACAAATGGGTCCTTTTTAGTGGTAAACGCGCAAACTTGTGTCTTCTGGGCATTGAATTTAATTATATTATGTCGCCCCAATCTGAGACCTTATCTGGCAAAGACTCGACTTCAGACATAAGTTTGTTCCGGTACTCGGTGACGTTTTCCCGAGAAATATAGGGCACAGCCAGTGCAGTGCACGGTACTTGCACGTTTGCAACATTTTAATGATAATAAGAAGAAACAGCGTAGGTGATAGCTCGTAGTCTTGTAGAACATCAGCATAAATAAGCTTGTAAGGAAGCATGCACCTTCTACTACGACTTTGTTGCTCCAATCTGCAAGAAAACTACTGATCCAATTGCACAAATTCTCTGGAAGCCCATGGGAAAGGAGCTTCGAAAGAAGCGCTTTGTGCCAAACCCGATCAAAAGGCCTTTGCTATGTCCAATCTAACGGCCAGGTTCTCCCTCTCTGCCTCCGCCGATTTATGAGTCAGGTAAGCGAGAAGATCACCAGCTGAGCAACCCCGACGGAAATCCTACTGGCGGTCACTTTTCAGTTGATGATTCTCAACCTCATGAGCTGGCAGTTCACAATGGTTTTCATTATTTTGGAGAACAAGTTTAATATGTCTGAGCGGTCGATTTTAAGTTATCTTTTAGAGATCTGGTACATTAAATCTGTCTTCTTTGAGTTCGGGACTACGCCTCGGGAGAAAGAGTTTTAGAAAAGACACGTTACGACCGGTGCCAACTAGGGAGCACACGTCTTCAGCACAATGGGAGGAACTCCATCAGGCCCACTCGACTTGACGACTAAGGAGAGTAGTACTATGCACACCGAGCGCTGTGTAAACAAATTATATGTAAGTAAATAAATTATACTTATTTTTAACAGCGCTGGTGAAGCACTCCTATTACAGCGCGATGCAATTTTACTGGAGTGACCAAATCAGGCATCACAGATGATAGAATAAAGAGTTCCATTCCCTGAAGTACCACATCAGCGACAGAATCACGTTGAGATTATCTACCTATGAGAGAAGCATACCTGCCCCTATCCTCAAGGGAAGGATGTAAAAAAAGACCGCATCCTGTACCAATCGGCCGACCTATAGTGCCAAACACGGCGGCAACCTGGCCTGCAGAACGCAACCGCGATGAGAGTGTGAGTGGAACCATAGTCAGGATCAGACAATGGTCCAATGAGCCAAGAGGGGCGTTGACGGGGACCTGATATCCCTTCGGATCAAAGGTCAGCAGAAGATCCAACAGGGAAGGTTCAAGATCCTCCACATCTAGAATCCGCGTAGGCGAAGTAACCATTTGTGTCGGACCATATGCCAAGGCAAAGTCATAAACAAATCTTCCTGCATGATCGGTTCAACGAGAACCAAGCCATTTAGCGTGGTGGCCGTTAAAATCACCAAGGATCACGATTTCTACAGATGGGCCCTGTTGTAGCACGGAGTCTGCGAACGTAGTCGATGAAAGGCACCCGTAGACGCGAAGATGGTCATCGTTGACCTTCAAGACTGTCGAGGCGTCGAGAACAGATATCCTCTCTGACGTATACGCAAACTCCAGCAGATAGGAGAGAAGTATCGACCGGAGAGGACACCTGCGTCTCGCTTAGAAAGAGCAAGGTCGGCTTCGCCGTCTTCAGATGGTGCCTAGTGGACTTTGTTAACGTTCGAATGAAATCCCCTGATGTTGCAGAAATTCACGGATAACGTGGCAGGGATCACCTTTATCTTATTGCTCTACTTGCCATGAGCAGTATTAGTCTTGTGCGGAATCCCCCCTCCCCCCAAAGGAGTACACTACCATTTTAAGAGGGAGAGAGGCCTCCGACCACCTGCACTTACCAGGCGAAGTAAACTTCTACTTCACGCTGTTTGTCTGTAAGGTCATGGTACCTCTTTGGTTCGAGCCGGTCCACCCATTCATTACATTCATTCATTACAGCTCTTCATTTCATGTCTTACCAGGTTGTCACTCCATCTACTCTGGTCCACCCATGCGATAGCAAAAACTGCCATGTGACTCTTCCACTGTTATGTTGTCTGCCTATATTATTAACTGTAATCTACTTCGTCATTGTTTATGCGTTACACATATTACCTAGTAGTAAGTTGCTTTGCTTTATTATGCCCTGCAGTGGGCGACAAGGAGCTGATGATGAAGTAGTTTTGCACCTTTAAAGTATTTAGCTTAGTTTAAATAGGGCCCCAGTTTCCGTCTCCGTCGCCCTTCATTGTTTATATATGTTTTCCATATGTGTTTGATATTTGTCAAGTGCTACGGATTTCCCAAATGGTTGCATGTTGTAGTAAATTATGAGCTTTCAGTCGTCTCGAATAAGTTGGATGTTGGAAATAGCGTCGAAATACAAAGATTGATTAAGTTGCTGAATAGTATAAGCACAATGCGTAGGTACCATTATACTGAATAAAAATAACAGCGCAGCGCAAATTGATATCAGACTTGATTTAGCTGTTATCGCTGCCAAATTATCAAGTTCTCTATCCCAGAAACAGGAGAGTAGGAAAAAGACGCCGACAGTTTCCAAGCCAACCTAACCACCTTGAACGAAAACATCAAAAACCTTGTTGTTGTTGTTTTTGATGTTTTCGTTCGTGAAAGGCCCCAAGATGTGATCGTTGAAAACATAACATTCCATGACTGTGACATCCTGTGGCTGCGGTAGCCGCCCCGAGAGCGCAGCGCACCGCTGCAGTGCCCGCCCCGCGAACGCAACCGTTGAGCGTGCGTCCTCACCCGCGGTCCCGAACGCGTTCAACACTCAAGACTGAGCAACGTAACCTATATTGCGAACCCTCATTTTTAAACGCGATGCAGAACAATTGTTATACGTAACTTTCTGAAATAATTTTACATTTTTTTTAATGTATTTTTAGTTTATCTCCTTTTAATATAATTAATAGAATCAGGCGTTACTTTGCGGAAATCCATTATATAAAAGCTTTTACAAAAATTTACTTCGCAAATATCCGCGTTATAAAATAAAATGATGTGTCTTACCTAGTATGAAGAAGCACCTCCCGCCCTCCCTCAATTGCGTGCACTATCCCCGTCACCACTAATCCCAGTACCGCTACTCCCAACACCACTACACTAGGCAAGACACACCACTGACGATAATACGACACGTGTTTCGCCTCTACACGAGGCATCCTCAGGTGATATAGACTCTACGGTGGCTAACCGCTAAGTGAGCGGCGAGCCAAAACAAGTGCCTTTTATACAAATCGATGATGCAACCGCTCTCTACCTAAGGAGCGAGCGACTGCGTCATGCGATAGAACATGCGACCAATCACCGCTGGACTTACGCAGCCGTTTGTAAATTTAAAAACAAACCGCCGCGCAACGCCCACCTTATTAGAGAGCAGGCTTGAAGATATTTAAGTGAGGTGAGTTAGTAACATTTGTTTGTTCATTCAGCAATGCAACGGTATTTTTATTACTTTTTAATATCTCTAACTGTTCCAGCACACATAGCCGCAGCCCTTTATTACACGTATGTAAGACTTTAAAGGAGTGGTCGTTGGCTAGGTTGTGTCCAGTGTCCAAAAGATGTTTGGCAAAATGGGATTTATCGGGATTGCAATTCCTGTACGCGGCTAAATGCTCTTTATAACGTGTCTCGAAATTGCGACCAGTCTGACCCACGTAAACGGCGTGGCATTCGTCACAAACAAGTTTGTAAACACCTGACTTTTGACGAATATCCAACTTATCTTTACTATTACAGATATTTCTAAGAGAATTGTTTGTTTTGAACGCCACATGAACGCCGTTTTTTCGAAGAGTATTAGCTACTTTTTCAGATATGGGACCTAAGTAGGTCAAACTGCTCACATATCGATGAATACTTTGAGGTTGAACCGCGTACAGAGAGTTGCGAATAACATGCTTTTGTTTCTTTTTAATTAAATTGTTAATGAGATTTTTTGAAAAACCGTTAGAGACCGCTATTTGATAAATTATATTAAGTTCTTTTAAATAATTTTCTTTACTTAATGGGACAGTGAACAAACGGTTAATGTAACAATAAAAAGCGGCTACTTTATGTTGCCATGGATGACATGATGACGCGGGGATGACCGTGTCGGTGTGAGTTGGCTTTCTATAAATTTGGAAAACATGTGACGATTCTTTTCTTGTTATTGTTAAGTCCAGAAAATTAAGGGAACAATCTTGTTCCAACTCAAGTTTAAATTTAATTTTGTCATGGACTCTATTTATTTTATTGAGGAAAACATCCAGTTGTCTCCTTGTGCCAGTCCAGCAAATAATTATGTCGTCTACATATCGATAGTAATATAAGATATTTTGATTGACAACTATATGTTGTTTTTCGAAATTATCCATGAAAATGTCCGCCATAAGGGGACTTAGAGGGGACCCCATAGCTAACCCTTCTTTTTGTAGATAGAAACGGTTATTAAACCGGAAATAGTTTTGTTTCATACAGAGAGAGGTTAAGTTAAGAAGATCATTTGTTTCCCCGGGATGTAGACGACGTTTTTCAAAGAGATCTGCGAGTATACGCAAACAGTCAGGGGATGGGACATTTGTGAAAAGACTATCAACGTCTAAAGATAACAATATGGATTTAGGAGGAATACGAATATCTTTAATTTTGGAAATGAGATCTAAGCCATTTTTTAGGCTGTAAGTGGGGTTGAAACCAGATTTCTCTCGAAGGAGGAAGTTTAATTTTTTAGCAAGGAAATAAGCTGGTGTACCAATATATGAGACAACTGGACGAATAGGAACATGTTCTTTATGTATTTTTGGTAACCCATATAAAATGGGTGCTTGAGGATTCATTGGATCAAGATTGCTCCGAGACAAGTTGTGATCGGGAAAAACATATGATGACTGTTGTATACATAACTTAATATCCGAAGTAAACTTTTTGGTTGGGTCAGACTCCAATACCTCAAAGTCATCACCTTGGATGACATCGTTAACTTTCTGGCTGTACCCACTACTCTCCATAATAACAACAGTATTGCCTTTATCGGCTTTAGTAACAATAAGGTCGTTTTCCCTTATTCTCTGCTTTAGGGACTTAAAAACAGGGAACTCAGGATTGAAATGGGAAGACGCGGGCACAGCCCGAATTTCATTAGCTACCAAACTTTTAACGATGTTATCTTTCTTCCCGATCACAACAGCCACCTCCGCGTCAACAGCCATAGTCTCTAACGATTTTTGGGAGACCGAAGGTGTTAAATTATACTTTAGGCCTTTATGTAAAAGGGACAACTCATCTGTTGGAAACTGGACATCGGAAAGATTTTTAACTCGGGGATAAAATTGGTGATATCCTGTATGTATGTCGTTATTACGATTACGGGATGAACAGGATACAAGTCGTTGTAATTTACGGGACTGAATTTGATATTTCTCATAAACAGCCATTGAAGCAAGTTCTCTGGCTTTCCCATCCAAAATATCAAATTCAATATTATGTAAGTTATATGAAAGTTCCGAGTATAATACTTTAAGGTGGATTTTTAAATTATCTCTATTGGAAAACCAACGATGACACTCCTCATTAAGCCAAATGTTCTGAGCTTTAGAAATAGCAATACTGGCCGCTCGACTATTTGTGCTGGAACGTATTTGAATATAATTGGGAATAACATGAAGTTGTTTGCACTGCTGATTGAACCAAACATTTTGGGCAGCAATACGATGGAGTTTTGTTAATTTGACATAGAGTCTTGCCTGGTCGGCCGTGCTAGCCTTTTTAATATAATTAATAGAATCAGGCGTTACTTTGCGAAAATCCATTATATAAAAGCTTTTACAAAAATTTACTTCGCAAATATCCGCGTTATAAAATAAAATGATGTGTCTTACCTAGTATGAAGAAGCACCTCCCGCCCTCCCTCAATTGCGTGCACTATCCCCGTCACCACTAATCCCAGCACCGCTACTCCCAACACCACTACACTAGGCAAGACACACCACTGACGATAATACGACACGTATTTCGCCTCTACACGAGGCATCCTCAGGTGATATAGACTCTACGGTGGCTAACCGCTAAGTGAGCGGCGAGCCAAAACAAGTGCCTTTTATACAAATCGATGATGCAACCGCTCTCTACCTAAGGAGCGAGCGACTGCGTCATGCGATAGAACATGCGACCAATCACCGCTGGACTTACGCAGCCGTTTGTAAATTTAAAAACAAACCGCCGCGCAACGCCCACCTTATTAGAGAGCAGTCTTGAAGATATTTAAGAGAGGTGAGTTAGTAACATTTGTTAGTTCATTCAGCAATGCAACGGTATTTTTATTACTTTTAATATCTCTAACTGTTCCAGCACACATTCCAAAATTAAAGATATTCGTATTCCTCCTAAATCCATATTGTTATCTTTAGACGTTGATAGTCTTTTCATAAATGTCCCATCCCCTGACTGTTTGCGTATACTCGCAGATCTCTTTGAAAAACGTCGTCTACATCCCGGGGAAACAAATGATCTTCTTAACTTAACCTCTCTCTGTATGAAACAAAACTATTTCCGGTTTAATAACCGTTTCTATCTACAAAAAGAAGGGTTAGCTATGGGGTCCCCTCTAAGTCCCCTTATGGCGGACATTTTCATGGATAATTTCGAAAAACAACATATAGTTGTCAATCAAAATATCTTATATTACTATCGATATGTAGACGACATAATTATTTGCTGGACTGGCACAAGGAGACAACTGGATGTTTTCCTCAATAAAATAAATAGAGTCCATGACAAAATTAAATTTAAACTTGAGTTGGAACAAGATTGTTCCCTTAATTTTCTGGACTTAACAATAACAAGAAAAGAATCGTCACATGTTTTCCAAATTTATAGAAAGCCAACTCACACCGACACGGTCATCCCCGCGTCATCATGTCCTCCATGGCAACATAAAGTAGAAGCTTTTTATTGTTACATTAACCGTTTGTTCACTGTCCCATTAAGTAAAGAAAATTATTTAAAAGAACTTAATATAATTTATCAAATAGCGGTCTCTAACGGTTTTTCAAAAAATCTCATTAACAATTTAATTAAAAAGAAACAAAAGCATGTTATTCGCAACTCTCTGTACGCGGTTCAACCTCAAAGTATTCATCGATATGTGAGCAGTTTGACCTACTTAGGTCCCATATCTGAAAAAGTAGCTAATACTCTTCGAAAAAACGGCGTTCATGTGGCGTTCAAAACAAACAATTCTCTTAGAAATATCTGTAATAGTAAAGATAAGTTGGATATTCGTCAAAAGTCAGGTGTTTACAAACTTGTTTGTGACGAATGCCACGCCGTTTACGTGGGTCAGACTGGTCGCAATTTCGAGACACGTTATAAAGAGCATTTAGCCGCGTACAGGAATTGCAATCCCGATAAATCCCATTTTGCCAAACATCTTTTGGACACTGGACACAACCTAGCCAACGACCACTCCTTTAAAGTCTTACATAAGTGTAAGACTTTAAAGGGCTGCGGCTATGTGTGCTGGAACAGTTAGAGATATTAAAAAGTAATAAAAATACCGTTGCATTGCTGAATGAACAAACAAATGTTACTAACTCACCTCTCTTAAATATCTTCAAGCCTGCTCTCTAATAAGGTGGGCGTTGCGCGGCGGTTTGTTTTTAAATTTACAAACGGCTGCGTAAGTCCAGCGGTGATTGGTCGCATGTTCTATCGCATGACGCAGTTGCTCGCTCCTTAGGTAGAGAGCGGTTGCATCATCGATTTGTATAAAAGGCACTTGTTTTGGCTCGCCGCTCACTTAGCGGTTAGCCACCGTAGAGTCTATATCACCTGAGGATGCCTCGTGTAGAGGCGAAACACGTGTCGTATTATCGTCAGTGGTGTGTCTTGCCTAGTGTAGTGGTGTTGGGAGTAGCGGTGCTGGGATTAGTGGTGACGGGGATAGTGCACGCAATTGAGGGAGGGCGGGAGGTGCTTCTTCATACTAGGTAAGACACATCATTTTATTTTATAACGCGGATATTTGCGAAGTAAATTTTTGTAAAAGCTTTTATTTATCTCCTTTGCTGTGCGGGAAGATGTTCAGTTTACACCGAACACATTATGTACACGTCGGCATTATTATACTTTAGTTTTTATTTGAGCCAGTACATTACATGTACAGACGCCAACAAGGTCTCATGTGCTAACATACATAACATTTGTAAACATTATAACAATAAACATTTTGTGCATAAACAGTGTTTTATGCACAAAATGTTTATTGTTATATTTGCATTTACATCAAAAGGTGTTGAATATCACAACAGGGCCCCTATGTCTGACATAGGGCTATTAACAATAGGCAATAGAAATAGAAGACACCCACTGTAATCGGATCGAAAGACAGATGCTGGCAACTTATTCCACTCCTTTGCTGTACGCATGATGAACGACATAGCGAACCGTTTGGTTCGAATGCGTGGTAAGTCAACAAAAAAAAGGGTGGAGATTGGTCGATCGTCTGGTTGTCCGATGGTGGAAGGGAGAGGGAGGATTTAAATTATGCAATTCCTGCGCACGCTCTCCGAAATGCATCCTGTAGAAAACCCAACCGCTAGCTACTTTGCGTCTGTGTTCGGGGCTGGTAAGATTAGTTTTAACCAAATTCAGGTCACCAATAAGCCTCTTAGCACGGCTTTCCATTGAGTCCAAAGCTACTAGGTGGCATTTTGCAGCACCAGCCCATATATGGCAGTAATTTTCCATGCACGACCGGACTTTATATAAAGTAAGCAGCTGTCCCGGCGTGAAATATCGCCGCACTTTTGCAAGGACTCCAAGCTTACCGAATGGCAGCCTTGTAAGCGGAGCTAGGTGACCACACTAAATGCAGGCTGAACGACCAGGTAAAACAACCAGGATGTTGATGTATTTAGGTGGCTCGAGACCGTGGCAGTCATTGGGGAGGCCCGCGGAGTTGTGACGGTTTGTAATGGAAATCTAAATACAACTAATTTAAAAATATTTATAAGAAGCCGGGGGCCGCGCAAAATTCATCTTGCCCACACCAAATTTAGGTCTTGCTCCGCCCTTGCCAAAAAGATTAGTAAAATATTTCTTCTGGTTTGTTTCTTCGCATCGATATTTAATATTAGTTCAATTTTTAAATTTTCACCTAAATGAAATGACTTCTATTTTAAAATATTTCAGTTTATTATTATTGTTTGTCCGCGATGGACTCCTAAACTACTGAACTGATTTCAATGAAATTTTGCACACTGTGTATATTTTGGTCCAACTTGAGAGATAGGATAGTTGTTATCCCGCTAAATGACCTTCAAAATTTTTTATTGCGAATTTAAGGATTTTTACAGGAAGGGTCGTTGGAAAGGGCAGAACATATATATATATATATATATATATATATATATATATATATATATATATATATATATATGTTATTATTAGATATTCACTTATTATTTAAGTAAAAAATTAAAACAATTAAACATTTATTTACTTTCTAAGTCTTACAACACTAACTTGAACTTCAATAACAAACAATTGAACAAACAAAGTCAATGGGAGCTTTGGCTTTGTATGGTTATTCAAGTAGAAAATTTAAACTTTACTAAACAATGTAACTTTTACTTAAAAATAAAAAAGCAATAACATACATTTAAGCAAACAAATTCAATGGGAGCGTTGGCTTTGCATGGTTTAAGAAAGTTAGGATAAATTTGGCTCATACCTTGTTGTTTTAAGTTTCAAACACGACTCTGAAATTTCATTTGTTAGTTGGCTTCTTACTTTACTTTTAATTATATTCATGCAAGAGAACGCTTGTTTGCACGAATATGTCGATCGGAAGATAGTCAACACCCCAAATGCAAACTTCTTCACCTTACTGTACCAATCTGGAAGACTATTCCATGCCTTGAATATAAGTGCCCCAACTCGTGGCATTTCTGTTAAAGCTGTTCATTTTTTTGCGTTACGTACATACATTTCTGGACCTCCTCTTCAACTATTTCAACTTGCTTTTCAACTCTGCAAATTTTCAACTCCACAAAGCTTTACTTTTTAAATCGATCAATTGCATTTCTAGAGATCCAGTATCCAACTCTCCAACTCCAAATGGCTCAGTGTGGATCGGTTTTTATTTTTTTTTATACAATAAATAATATTTGCGTATAGAACTAAAGAGCCGCAGCTTCACATCCAAAGAGCCGCATGTGGCTCGCGAACCGCAGGTTGCCGACCCCTGCTCTGGGCCCATCGCTACGCCGAGTTCTACGCCAATCTCTACGCTGACAAGATTTTTACGCTGAAGATCCACCCCCACCATTTTTTGAATGAGTGGAATGTATATTTATAGACAAGATTTTTATTTAAGATAATTTTTGTAATTGGTATTAATAAATCTTACATAATTTTTTTTTAAATATAACGTAATTTGCTAAACATACTCGTATCTACAATAGAAACACGCAATTCTGTGTTCGGATGTTGATTGCAGAGACATCGCCTCGGTCAATATAGCTTGATTTGAAAGGCTTTATACAGCTAATGAATCATTGTATGAATACTAGATTCCAGCTAATTTTAAAATTAAATATAGCGCCATGTAGCGCTTTGGTCACTACATGTCTAGCCTACCTAGAATTATTACTTAAATTTTCATTGAAAGTTTGTTATATATAATACCTGTAATACCAAATATTATTGTAAAATATGTTTTAATGATAAAAATACATGAATAGTAAATTTTGTTATAAATATATATTATTTCTATTGTCACATATTTATATTTTTAACGTTTTTAATT